GGAGGTTGCTGTGAGCTGAGATGCCACGGTACTCTACCCAGGGGGACAGCTTGAGGCTCCTGTCTCAAAAAAAAAAAAAAAACACAAAGTGTTCAGACTTACAATTTCAAGGGAAATGACCAATTTTATGGTACTTTGGATGTTGGTTTTCTGATATATATTACACACCCAAAGAAACACAAATTAAAAAACTTTAGAAATTGGCTAATAAGTATCAAATAATTTAATAATTACAAATGTATGGGGTGTGGGGGTTTTCTTTAACAGTTTCTTTTTTTTCAGATTCATAGAACTTTCAGGGAAATAGGTACAGCCATTGGGGAGGATTCAACAGATTAGAAATTAGAAGGCCCCTAGATTTTCCAGATGGTTTTTAATTCAATACTTAAAAAAAAAATAAATTCAATAACTTGACATGTAATTTGTTTAATTTATTCCTGGTTTATCTTCTGTCATGTGCTTTTTTAAAAGAAGGAATGTTTGATTTCCTAATATGTCACAATTAACAACAGATGCAGTCTCCTACAATAAATTTCATAACCTTTAAAAAAGTAAATCCAAGATTAAACTTAACTTTTTGGAATCTTAAATAATAAGCATGACAAGGTTTTCTGGTGGATAAACCAAAATAAGATCATCAGTTCTTAAATTATAGTAGTCAAGTAGGTTTGATAGCAAAATTGATAACCCTTGAAACAAAAAACTTGCACCCTGGTGTCTTTGAACTCATGAAGACCTAAGAGGATAGAACTCACAGTCTGTCTACCTTGGCTTTTTCCCAGTAGCTCCTCTGAAAAGCTCAGATTCTCTCTTTTTTTTTTTGAGACATGACAGAACTATTGTGGATGGAACATATAGGGAAGTAGGCAGCCTGGGAGGGACACCTTGAGATGGATCTGAGATGGATCTCCAATCCCCACCACATGTGTCCTAGGAAAGACCAGGACCGGTGGGTCTCTGGTAGAACCTTCAGGGGCGATATAAGGAGGGCGCATGCTTGTGCCTTCTGCATGCTGCTCCATGCAGTGGGGGTGCGAAGTGCTTGCCAGTGGTGAGACCCCCAAGGACCTTCCCAGTTCCCCAGCAGATGCCCAGAGATTAGCCAGTGGCACCAAAAGCCATTGAGAAATTTAAAAGAAAAGTAATTTTGGGTCCCTCTCTCCTTTGTCTGCGGAAGACCAGTTAGGTGAAAAGAGGAATCAGTCAGAGGCCCCAGGAGCTTTGCCAGAAGCAGGAAGTGCCAGCAACAGGGTCTCTTATTCCAAACAAGGAGCCACCCGTACAGACCAACCTTCCCTCCCAGCCCTCATGCCCTTGGGTCCTGAGCCTGCTCACCTGCAAGAGGAGACTTACAGGCACCTGCAGGAACCTGCAGGGTTACCCTATAATCTCCTCATCAAGGTTTCCAGGTGCAGCTGGGGAGACAGGAAGCCCCTGTGCACACAGAGGCAGACCCCCCAGCTGGCTCTGTGGTTAGAAGGGGCAGCTCCATGGGGAGTCAAGTTGGCAGCTTTAAAGGTGGCATGAGACCCAGGCACAACTGAAAAGTTTGACAGGCAGAAGCCACCTAGAAGACTGTTTCACTAATCCAGGGGATCAGGAAAAGGGGATGCATAGAACTCATCTGCCTATGTATCCCACTTCTGTGCTTGGGGGAGAGGGCCTCACCCAGGCCACCTCTAGACCAGGGATACCTCTGTGTCTAGGGGAGGAGGCCTCACCTGGGCCACCTCATAGCTGACATCCACACACAGCTCCCAGGGGAACAGGCCAGGCCGGGGCACCTCACCCAGTAGGCTGCAGGACCTCTTCCAGGTGCAGTGCTGGCCCCTGACCACCCCAGGAAGACCAGCTTCAGGCGTATTCCTTCATCCTACCATGCAGACCTCTCTTCCCTGGGTATGCCCTCTGAGCCTTGGTGTTGAGTTAGAAATTTTAACAGCATTTTTGGTTCTTTAGTTCGCTTATGCTCTTTAGTTTGGTGCACATTTTGGGGAGTTGACTTACTGGGACAGACCCACACTGGAAACAGCTGATGTTTGTGGGGGCCACGGGCTAAGTCCTGTGGTGGGTGAAGAGAGGGTGTTAACTTCCCAACTTGATACCAGCTGCATCTCATGTTAAGAACCCACTTGTGAGGCCTGATGCGGTAACTCACACCTTGTAATCCCAGCACTCTGGGAGGCTGAGGTGGGTGGATTGCCTCAGCTCAGGAGTTCGAGACCAGCCTGAGCAAGAGCGAGACTTCGTCTCTAAAAATAGTTGGGCACTGTAGTCCCAGCTACCCCAGAGGCTGAGGCAAGAGGATCGCTTGAGCCCAAGAGTTTGAGGTTGCTGTGAGCTGTGACGCCATGGCACTCTACCAAGGGCAACCAAGTGAGACTGTCTCAAAAAAAAAAAAAAAAGAACCTACCTGTGCCCACAGCACACCCTACAGGCCAGCTGCCCACCCACCCCAGGTGGGTGCCAGCACATCTTTGTAGTGTTTCCTTCATTTTAATACTTGTCATTTTTCTATCAAGCATCTCTTTATGACACAAAAATAACGAGGGAATAAAGAGGGAGAATCAAGTATTTTAGCAATTCAAAGTATAAATAGTGGCTTTAGATTTTTATCACTTCATGGAAGCCTGACACTGGGGAGGCTGCTGGAGAACACATTGTCGGGCTTGGGCCTCGCAGGTGTGTGTGGGAACAACACACACACAGCTCGTGGAGAGAGGAGGGGAGTTAATAAGGACGCAGCTGATTCTTCACACCAGGCCTCTGTTGCTTTGAACAACACAGCCTTGGATTAAGAGCGGCCTTCTGGGGAAAAACATAGAAAACCTCAAGAAAAACACCCTGTGTTCTTCTTGTGTTGGTGTGTCTCTTTCTGGGAAGAACAGGCTGTGGTGTCCAGGTTAGCAAAGAGCCACACATCCATAGGAACTCCAGTTTATGTCCTGGGGGTAATAAGTGGGGGGATCGATCACCTGTCCCAGACTGCCTACGTCAGCACCTGCTGGAGCCCTGTGGGGTCTGGGGAGCAGTGCTGGTGCCCACAGTGCAGCTTCTTCATCAGCCGCCTGAGCTTGCTGGGGAAGCTTTTGTCCATGTAGCGGTAAAGAAGAGGCATCACAAAGCTGCTTGAGAAGGCCAGGAGCTTTGATAAATCCTGTGCAAGGTGCACTATCCCCACATAGTGAGCGTCCACTGGCTTCCCATGAGAGACCAGGACTGTGTGCCCTAGAAGGGTCAGGTAGTGAGGCGTCCAGAGCCCAAACTGTGTGCACACAGTCGCCACCAGGAGCCTGTGTGCTGAGGGGTCTAGCCTCCCTGTGTCCTGGTCAAGGGGTGTGTCTGCCTTCTGGATGCGTGAGATGAGCACCAGTGCATACAGGGCAGCCGGCACAGGCACCACATAGCCGATGAGCACCAGAATGGCATCAGCCGCCTCCGCACTCTGCATCTTGGCACACTCCAGGACCCGGGAGGACACACGACTGCAGACGTAGAAGAGCAATGAGGAAAAGCTGGTCAGCAGAGCCCCGCCCCAGACAAAGCCACACACATGCCGGGTGTTGTGCACACTGGCCATGTGGGTCCGTGGCAGTGCCCGCTCAATGTAGTGGTCAAGGCTGAGCAGGGTGGTGGAGTATGTGACCACCAGGGAGGACACGTTGAATGGGATCAGCAGTGCAATGTGTGCCTCACTGCTGACATTCCATGGGACCCATCCTGAGCCAGGAGTGCCAAGGAGGCACACGGGAGCCAGGGCATTGAGGACCAGGCCTGCCACAGCCATGTTGACGAAGTACACATCTGGCATGGTCATGCTGCTCTTGCTGTGCAGGTTGGCCAGCACCAGCAGGCTGTTGTAGCAGAGGCCGACGGGGACACCTGCAGCCAGGCAGAGCAGTGAGAGCACAGACAGCCCAAGCTGCAAGTCCTGGCAGACAGGCAGCTCCTCACCCCTGCCTGTCCCATTGAGCCAGCTGCAGCCCCACATGGTGGCCTGTGAGGCTCCACTACTCTGTGGAAGGAAGAACAGCAAGTTAGCTCAGGCAGCCCAGGAACAGCCTAGGAGTATAAAGGAGCCTCCCATCTGCCCAGGGCCTGGAAAACTCAGTCTCCCTGAGTGAGACAACATCTACAAATGGCCATCTGAAGGCCTAGCCTGTGCTATTGTGGCCAAAGCTTATGACGCTAAAGTAATGTCAGTGGCCACGGAGAGTCTCCCTGACCCCTTTCCTGAAGAAATCTAACCACAAGAGTCCTCACTTAGCATCCTCAGTAGATTTCTTAGAAACTGCAATTTCAAGCAAAAGGACATATAATGAAAGCCCAATTCATAGAAACAAGCTAAGCTCCTATGGCTTCTTTCTGGTCACAAAAACATCACCAGTCTTCTAAGTAAGGACTCCAAACACTTTAATATTAAACATCAAAATAAACATGAACTACATTTTTTCCCTAAACCTACATTTAGGAAAGAGTTATAAAAACAAGGGAGATAATATTTACCCAAGTTTTGGAGAGTCAGTGAGTTATGGTGTGGGTAAAATTGAGGGGTAAATGTTCATGAAGTGAAACTGTTTGGAGTACCTCCTGCCTCCACAGTCCAGAAACAATCACAAATACAGTGGCTTGTCAAGCATATTCATACTACATCATTTACTGCGTGTTTGTATGAGTATCATAGGCTTTACAAATTTTTATTTTATAGTAATTTGAATTAATTTGTTTTCCTACCCACTTATTACTTGAGGGTAGCTGGAGCCCATCGCAGCAGCTCAGGGCGCAGGCAGGGACCCACCACAGGGCTCATGCCCCCCACACAGGTGGGGACTGTATGGACATGGCATTAGCAATACATGCAGCCCACACAGACCTGGGGAGGACATTTGGCCCCCACACAGACAGTGGCCTTGTCTGGGAACTGACTTTTTTGTCATCCACATGACAGTGAAGCAGCAAGGTGGGTCCAGGGCGATGGGTAGTTTTTTCAAGGTGCCCCTGCACGAGCTGGTCATAGAGTGCTCCATGCCTCTGGTGTGCCCTACTCTGCCAACTGGTCTCATTCCTCAGTGGCAGCTGGTGAAATGTGGTGTGACAGGAGCTGGGCCTGGAGGGGCTGCTGCTCTAGAGGGACTATGGCACTCAGGGTTGGAGTGTGAGCTCAGTACATCCCATACACTTAAGAGCCCTTTCTGCAGGGCACTGCGAAGCCCAGTTGAATCATCCTGATGTGCTGGGACGGGCCCAACACTGGGATTTTGAGGTTTGCCAGTGCCTATGGCAGCATGGGCTGTTGGCCCTGGGGCTTACCTCCCTGCAGCAGGTGGCCCTGGCCCAGGACCTAGCACCTCAAAGGCAGCTCAGCACCTGGGCTCAGGGCAGAATGGCCTCTTGGCCATAGTCCGTGGGAAACTCTGGTCTCCTTGTCCTAACTGAATGAGAAATAGGTGGGTAGAGCCACAATATAGAGCCATCCCTCCTTTCTTAAAGAGCAGGTATTCTTTAGCAATGTCTAATTGTTTGGGGGGAAACCTTACATTAAAAATATATTTGGCTCAGCCAGACCTTCTACTCTCAGAATAAGAGGACACCCCAGGCAGACACATAGAGAGCAAGTACCCCTGTCTCCAGAGGCAGGGGACATGGTGAAGAAGCCAGGCTGCTGGGGTCCATGCCAGTCCTGCCTGCCCTCACCCATCTCAGCAGCACTGTGACTGACTGACCACACGTGGAGATCCTGGGAGCAAGTTGAAAAGGGACATCCTTCCATCACAGGACTCAGACCAGACACACATGGCTCAGAATGAGGGAACGAGTCCAGACCCTCAGACCCTGCTCCAGGGCAGCGGGTGCACAACAGAAAGCACAGTGGCAGTGCCCAAAGGTCTGCCTCCACATCTGTCACCTTTGTGTCACTAGAGTCAGCACATATGCAGCAGGTGGATGGCACAGGGGGAATTCCACTCAGACAAACACCCTTGATCCTCAGGAGTGAGCAGGAAGGACACCAATAGGGTGACTTATTATGCAATGCTAACGAATGCCACCTGGCAGACTGAGATAAGTGTCAGACGGCAATGAAGGTACTCAAGAGATAGGCCATGTGACTCAGGCGCACTGGCCCACACATCCACATCACATCACTCCAGGGAAGAGCATTTCCTCTCATCGACAACGTGCACACAAGTCCTGAAATCTAGATACCTGCTCCTCACACTCTAGCTGGCTGTCCCTTCACTAACCACATCTTCACTGGACCACCTGGGCTGGGCACATGTCTTCCAGGGAGGCTGTCAAGGGCTGGACTCCTCTGGGGAGACGGCACAGGCACTAGATGGGAAGTAAGAAGTAGCCAGTCCCCCTGTGAGCTGGAAGGGGCATTTCTGCCTCTGTTTCTGAGCTGACCCAGCAACTGGTCCTAACAGCTCTGTTCTTCCCATTCTACTGTGCCTCCCCTCCCCCAATCTTGGTAACTGAACTGCCACTTCAGCAGTCAGGGTCTGGAGGTCTAAATGCCATCCTCCGGGTATGTCTGCTCCCAGTGCCCGTTTACCTTTGGCTATCATAAGGGGTACAGCTGGAGTTTCCAGTTTGGGGCACTTCACCAGACCTCACTGGCCATGAGTCCCAGGAAGCACTATGCTCTCCTGTGACCCCTAAAAATGGATGTCAGCAAGCACAGTGTCTTCAGCCCAAGAGCAGCCTGGCTTGACCTGGCCTTGTGTGGTATCCAAGGGCCCCAGAATTTGTCCAAGCTGTTCCCTCGTGTTTCTGATACAGAGGAAAAGGGAGTGAGGTCAGCAAGGTCCTCTGAAGAGGAAGGGCCCTCACACGTGAGCTATATTGTTACTTTTTTGTGAGCCAGCATTTTACTGTGTTGCCCAGGCTAGAGTGCCATGGCGTCAGCCTATCTCACAGCAATCACAGACTCCTGGGATCAAGGCTCCTCCTGCCTCAGACTCCTGAGTAGCTAGGGGCTATAGGCACACACCATAATGCCCAGCTGATTTTCTTACTTTGAGGAAAGACAGGTCTCACTCTTGCTCAGACTAGACTCAAACTCCTGAGCTCAAGTGATCCTCCTGCCTCGGCTTCCCAGCGTACTAGGATTACAGGCGTGAGCCCCCTGGCCTTATTCATAAGAGGGCCACAGTCTGGCTGTGGGCCACCTTCACCTGCCAGACCCTGCAGAGGCCTGACCCCTCCTGGGTCCTGCTCTGGCTCAGCACCCTCACATTTAAAGATGTCCTCATAGCTTACGCCACATGTAGCACTTCCCTCCCTTCCTGCCTCCTGGTTGTTCTCGGCCACCACCGCCTTCCCTGGGTTCCTACCTTTATTTCAGGTCCCACGTTTCTTTGTGCCATGGACAATAGATACTGTCGGTGAACAGCATGGCACTGCAGCCACCAGAGAGCCAGGGGAGCCTGTGCTGTGCTTCCCTGGAGCCCCACAGCCTCTGTACAGCAATGCCATGCATGTGCCAGAATGTGAGCACATGCGGGCCCCAGGATGCAGGCTCACCACTTGTTTTTCCTCCAGTAAATTACTCACAAGGTTCCTGCCTTGCTTGGCAGGCACAGCGGCTCCTCCCTCTCTCTGTTTACAGCCAGTTTCAAGAAGCTGGAGGTTCTGTTTGGGCGGTGCTGTCAGATCCGGAGTGTGGCTCCCTGGGGCAGGCTGGGTGCAGGCTGTGGTGGCCTGCCTTAGGTCCCTGTGCCACTCCTGATGGGTGTTATGCCTGAGAAGTTCAGTCACAAGTCCCCTTCTTCCTCAAGAAAATAAACTGAACACACGATTGTCTGTTGAAAATAGGACAAAGTAGTTGGACTTCACTTCAAGTCCGCCACAGAGAGAAGCACTGGCTGCTTTCTTGTTGCCCATGGGAAACAACTTTTGGAGGCACAGCAGAAGAGAGGGCAGGCGAGTTGAAAGTAAAGTGGGAAGTGTGTGCTCTGCAGCCTTTTGACAAGTGCTCCCACGGTCGCCATGCACGTGTGTAAAATCAGCATGGCTCAGGAAGAGTTGAGTTGGCCATATAAACTGAGTGTTCTAGCAAGGTGTGAGGTTCCTCCCGCAGATGGAGCTGCGCAGGGCTGCTCGTCTGATCCTGAGCCCTCTGTGTGAGGAGCTGAGGCAGAGCTGCCCAGACTGTCAATGCCTGCCCCGAGGTGCCACAGAGTTGGGGGGGGGGGCGGTGTGGCAGGCAGTCAGTACCGAGCTCAGAATGGCCCAATTCTTGAGAGAGCATCACATGGGGTAAAATCTGCTTAGCATTTCCCTCATGCATCCCGTGCTAGTGCAACCCTGGGTCATGTACCCAGGGTGTGGGTGTGTTCATGCCAACCCAGGCGTATGTGAGAGCAGGTGGTAATCCTCAGCGCTGGCCTTGAGGCTTGAAAATACAGCTTGTACATACTGAAGAATTTATTTAATTTTCTTTATAGAGACAGAGTCTCACTGTGTCGCCCTGGGTAGAGTGCCATGACGTCACAGCTCACGGCAACCTCAAACTCTTGGACTTAAGCAATTCTCTTACCTCAGCCTTCCAGGTAGCTGGAATTACAGGCGCCCATCACAACACCTGGCTATTTTTTGGTTGTAGTTGTCATTGTTGTTTGGCAGGCCAGGGCTGGATTCGAACCCGCCCGCTCTGGTGTATGTGGCTGGCGCCCTAGCTGCTGAGTTACAGGCGCCAAGCCCATACTGAAGAATTTATAAACTTTTAAACTAGAGGCAGCTCTATGAGCATTTTACTATATAACAATTACAAAGATAATTTTTACTTCAAATTAAGAATTTAAAGCTAGAAGATGCCCATTTTCATTCATTTTCAGTCAGACTAAAAATGGCACACTTTGCTTTTTTGTTCTCCCATTTTTCCTTGGAAGGTCACTCCTCTTATGAGGTATTAAGAGATCATGGGAGCAAAATGACAACTTGTAGGTGGGCTGCTTCATGGGCTAGCATGGTAGATGTTCATACATTAAAAAAAAAAATCTCATCTGTGTTAGAAGGTGGGGTGAGGAGGGACAGTTGGGAAGGCAGGTGTGGAGCTTTTAGCTGTTGAGCCAGGTGGTGTCCTGAGGTCCTTCTCACTGTGGCAGGGCTCATGTGGGATAGTCCTTATGAGCACACTTAAGAGTGGGGCCAGCTTGAGCACTCTCCTGCCTGCAGGTTGCTGCCTTATGGTTTAGGGACGAATGAGCATGAGACTAGTAGCTTTAAAGACCAGAGTACCTCACGGTTGCAACAGATCACAGCAGAAGTGTGCCTGCTTCTCGTGGTTACAGACAGTTAGTGACTAACCCTCGCCATCATTACTACTGAGCTGTGCTTTCACTCATGATAACCAAGGTGTTTTCCAGAGCTTTGAGAGCTGGGGGTCTGTTCCGCTGTTATCTGCTCCATCCCCCCCTTCCTCTTACAAGTTCCCTGTGGCCTCTACCTCCTTTGTGCTCAGAGACTTCCTGTTTCTGCACGTGGGAAAGAGGAACGTTCTGGAACCTGAGAACAATGGCTTAGTCTCTACCCTCCAGCCCAGGCTAACCCTGGCTGGGCTGTCTTTCCAGTTAGCCGGGCATGCTGTTAGCTTCCTCCATGAGAAAGAACTCAGAACCAGATGGTAGAGATTGGGGGTTGGGGAGAAAGCCCCCAAATGAGTGTCATCAGAAGTGGGCCCTTGATCTGGGTTTCTGTCTCTCTCCACAAGACCCAAGAGAAAACAGAGAAGACCTCAGGGTGTAGAGCTTCCCTGATACAAACTCAGGTCTGCCGTTTCCATTTGGGGAGCTGCGTGCCAATTGCAAGGTTAGCCATCCACCCCCTGGCCCTCTTGTCACAGGTCCCTGGCCAGCTCCCTCCCAACCAGGCCCTTCCTGGGAGCTACTCCTGCAGCACACTGGCTGGTCTGGCCACCTTCCTTCCATTCTTACTACTGGCCTCTCCCATCCCTGAAACCCTCCCCCATGATTCCTGTGGAACCTGCCACCCACTGGCAGGTCCTGGCTTAGGTCCCACAGCAATAATGTAAGCAGCCTTCCACAGCCTGTCCTTCGGGGGCCTTAGGGACTGAGCCCTTCTCAGCCCTACCCTCCTGTCCTCTCTACAGTATCTGCAGGTGAGCTAGGATGCTGCAGGGTAGCCTTGGTTCTCAGAGGGCCAGGATAGGAGGTGGCAAGGGCCCCCGTGTGCTGCGCAAAGCAGGCCATGTATGTTTTGGGGGAAGGCTTTTAGACCTGTAAGAGATTCAGTAGTGACATAAACATAACTTGTGTGCCCTCATAAAGAACGGGCACAGTACACACACTAAGAGGCCAGGGCTGGCCTTGCAATTGCTGTTCTCGTCCCAGTCCAGAGGTGGCTGGTGTGGAAGACACATCTGGATTCTCATCTGGGTGGAATGCAGAGGTCTTTCGGTTCCAGGCCTGTGGGTGTCAGAAATCAGGCAGGGTGGCCTATTACAGCAAAGAGGGTGTCAGGGCCAGGACTAGCCTCAGAGCATGTGGTGGCCTGGGCATGGTAGCAGGTGGCTTCCCATCTGGGACAGGGATTAGGCAGCCAGGCCCTGCAGCTGCCATAGAACCTCAGCTTGCCCAGCTCAGGTATCCATGCTGCTCTTTAAGTAGCAGGAAGGATGGAGCTGGACATTGCCTGCACCCAGAGAAGCTGGCATCAGAAGTTGCACTTCCATACAAGAATCAAAGTCATGGGCTGGTGCGAGGCCAGCTCTGCCTCAGCATCTGGACAGGCAGGGCTCAGACCTCTCGGTCCTCCTGCTCTTGTGGGGTTTGGGGAGCTATGTGAAGCCATGAGGGACATCACAGTGTAAGCTACTCCTCTGCACATAGAGGGTCTGCCTTTTAGACCCTTGCAGCCATCCCTGTCAGAGGAAAGGGAGGCCAAGGTCACAAGCCAGGTCAGGGTTGGAAAGCTCCTAGCTTGTAGGGACCCTCTCTGAGCCTGCAAACAGTCATGGTAATAAGGCTGCTGTCCCTAGCAGGGTCAGTGAGACCTTGTTTACACTGTTGGGCCCTCTGTGCCAGTGGACATGTGTGTTGTGTGAAGGGTGGTTGTCTCTGAGGACCACGGGTAGGCCCTAAGAAATGGAGCCCTTTGGGTGCCCTGTTCTTTCCCAGTTTCTGGGGACTTAAAAGTTTACAGAGTCTCTTCCAGGTGTGTGGTCTGCTGGGTGATAGTCACTCCCTACACATGCTCTTATGGATAAAATGGGGATGTTTTCTTCCAAGACTCCTGCACCAGGCTCTGATTACTATTTTTCAAGAACATGCCCCTCCTTGAAGACCCATCCAGCCCTGGGAAGGCTCTTGGGACTTGCTCATGGAGCTGGTCTTTCCCCCCATGCCTGTTCTGGGTGTGTACAGGCTCCTTGTAAGCCATCAACTCAGGCCATGCACCCCTGCTCGGTGAAAAGGAAAACCAAGGAGGATCCAACTACCAACCTAGTGAGGGCAGAGAACATGTCCACAGTGGCCTGAGCAGCCCATGCGGGCAGCTCTTCTCATTAGACTGACAATCCATGGTCATGCCTGTCCCAGGTTAGATAGTTCCCTGCTTTGCTTTGAGTGCTAAGCAAATGTTGTGGGATCTCTGTTTTCTTCCTAATTTATGACCAAATGCCCCTTGAGTATGCTGACTTCCTTTGGAGATCACCAGATAGCCAAAGGCAGTTGGCCAGTGTACTCTGTGGCCCCAGGTTTGCCAGCCAAGGAGTCCCCTGGGAGGCCACAGGCAGGCCAGGGGGAAACAGTGTTGAGCCTGGTGGCTGCTGGACTCACTGCACAGTCCCACAGCCTTTGTGCTGATATTGAGTCTGTACACTAAGGGCCCTGGGGCTGTGTATTCAGAATGGAGCCTGTAGGGAGGGAGCCCTGGCCAACCAGAGGGGCTGGTGCATCATTAACTGCAGGGCACCAGCAGTGCAGTGCTGCTGTCCTGCATTATTGATGGGAGGTGGTAACAGTTACTATCAGGCCTGGCTGATGGGTGGGAACAGGACAGGTACACAGCTATACAGCACCACCAGCCAGGGCTATGCTAGAGACTTAGGAGCTGCTGAGTCTGTCATGCAGCCAGATACAGCAGGCACTACCATTCTGAAGTAGTTTTCTTACTTTGAGAAAGCAGCTCTGATTTACTGACATGACCCCTGGTCTTAACTCATCCTACCTTATATGAGGGAACTTTAAGTGGGGTTCTATAATAAACCACTGGTAGGGAAGCTCAGGTCCTACAGTCAGCAGAGAGAGAAATGAGTAAGTGACAGACAATATAAACGCATATAAAGTGCTTTTAAAAACCCACAGTCCCCCAGTCTTCCTATAGGGAAAGTGATTAGGAATTTGGCCTCCGGAGCCAGCCAGCCAGGGTGTACATCCCAGTCTGATACTGCTTTCAAGCTGTGTGACTTACTGTGTCCATGCCTCAGTTTCTCCAAACTTAGGAGGATTAAATAAATCCTCCTAAAGCACACAAGCGTGTTCAGGCACTTGCTGAGTCTTGTTAGTCCCAGTGTTAGGATGTCCACAGATGCAGATCTTTTGGTTTCTGATCTTTAGCCTCCTCACCAATATTGTTAAGGCAGAGGAAGCCATTCTGTGAACTTTCAACTCTTTGTGAACTGACACATTTGAAGAGGGAGCCATAGGAGACAGTGGGAATGATACCAACAGTGATCCTGTCACAAGCCAGGCAGGAACACTAGCCTAGAGAGAGAGTGCAGCTGCCAGGACAAGTGTGA